GAGTTTTAGCTGTGTTTTTTGACACTTAGAAAACTTTGGTTTTGAGAAAAATCACGATTTTCTTTGGTCAAGTGTTCTATCTCCAATCATTTTTCGTGAATTTCTTATTTATTTCAATAGATTGAGCATATAATTTGATATCTTCTGATCCTGTTTAACATGTCACATGCATGTGCAAAATTTGAAAGAATTCGATTGAAAAGTGAAGACGAAATTGTTGTCCTAAACTTCAAGATCGAATTTCTCGAAAATAGGTTTTTGTGACTTAGTACACTCTGGTTTTCAGGCGACGAAGTGACGTCTGAGTCATATTTCAAATCATTTTCATAATACCCGATTAAGGTTGTCCATTTGGTTTAGCCTCAAACTGGAACGGCTTATTTTAGGGCTGCTCATATTTACAGGAACCATCTCACTCACTGTCGGAATTTCAATGACGAAGTTTACGAAGATGGCTCATAATACAGTTCCTCCAATAATCAATGTCAGTAAATGATTGGAAAGGACTGAAACATTGTAGGATCAACATATTTTTTCTATTTTGTTGTTGTTGTAATTTTGTACTGCATTGATTTTGCTTGAGTAATATTTATGTTTAGCTGAATACATTGCCAAAGCATCTTATCTAATGGGTCAAGAGTACTGATTGAAATATACACATAGTACTTAATTAAGCACCTCCTAATATATTTCATCATAGTGGGGTACCTATGATGATGATATGTCAGTAATGCCATTGTTCAGTGGCACATGCTAGGTAATTGAAAAACACGGTTTCAGTTTGAAAGGATTTAAAAAGTAAAGCACACACGCATGTCAAACATAGTACTAACCATGAAAAACAGTGGTCACTGATACTCTGTGTCATCAGTAGAAACACCCGGAAACAGGTTAACAGGCGCTGTCAAGGATCAATCCAGCTGAAAATCGCAATCTGGGCCTCCTTTCACAAAGCACTAAGGTGATCGTAAGTCACTACGGTAACCTTAGTGTAATGTTAAAGAATGGGAGTTAAGGTTAACCTTAGTAAAGGTTGCTTCGTGAAAGTCGCCCCTGGTTTGTTACTTGAGGCGTGACAAGCACTCGTTTAAAGCAACTCTATGGGTAGTATAGGGAATGACAGTTCTATTACAGGCCCCCTATAACCAGGTCCCCCTGGCGTAGTGAAAATTAGGTATGAATGATGGTTGGCCATCATTCGGCGTCAATGCAAAATTTCACGAAAATCGGTCGAACAGTTTCGGAAATATTCACTTTTTAGTGAGCATGGGGTCGCTCAGGCGAGAGGCTAACTATCCAACGTACAGGCGACCACGCTTGTTAACGGGGTTTGCTATCTCCGACCGTCAGTTCCGTGTTGACCTGGTTAGCTGTGTGTACGGCTCGAGGCAAAAACCTCGGAGTCCGATCATCGATGAGCAATCCCCCCTTCACCGTAATACACGGCCGTGGCTGTCTTGCTCGCCTGGTGTACGGTTCGGGTAAAGACCTCGGAGTCTGATCAACGACTGCTCGGTAATACACAGCCGGCTGTCATTCTCTCGCTGTGTGTACAGTGATTGATAAGTGACTCGCTGAGCTACACTGAGCTGGGTAGCGGCGTGTCAGAAGGCACAACTTGTAATTTTTCTCTGATAATTGTTCAGACTGGTCCGTCTCGGAGATAATACAGATTGAGTTTACTGTCTCGGATATCGACTCGGTCGATGCTGTAGGTTTTCAGCAACCATATAGGATCCATGGCACGTTTTCTGCTATCTCCCTCGTGTTCACAAATACCTCAGACTGACCTGGTCTGGTAGCTATTTCTCTCTCCTTTGAGCGTGAGGTGGTCCGGACGATTTGACGGTGATGGATTTCATTTTGATGGCTTTGACTGGTCTCTTGCCGACGAGTCTGATGATTTCGTGTTTGTTTATGGCGGCTACCACTCGAAGCAACCGTGCAACCCATTCCATTGATTGTATTTTGCGTCCTTGATCGACTTGCAGCTTGGCAGGCCAGGTTAAGCGACTGTGTTTGTATATACGTTCGGGTGCTTTGGCAACTTTGGGTGAATCTTTCGTCGTCAATGGTTCGGCCTCTTTGTAGAGACTGGCGACATCCATGGCGGTCAGGGCATACTTGTACATTTTGCGTCTCACCCTGTCATGCGGTAGAAAACAAGAGATCGGCTTGATGCACTCCATTGGGCATCGAAATATCAATTTTTCGTCTCGGGATGTACCGGGGCGCCAGCAGGTAGATTTGCCAGAGATCCTGTTTTCTAAGCAAGCTTTAGCAACGTCTTCTGAGACTCTGGCGGCTTTGGCGAGTTTCGGGATGCCATCTGCGCCCTACCAGTATCCGCGCTGGCTGTAGTAAATTTTCTCTATATTTGATTATTGCTTTATTGTTTTAATATGTGTGTGTGTCCATACGGGTAAGTCGTGATGCTGTCGCCTGCAATCTATCTCTTGGTGTCCTTGGGAGACAGCGACGTCTTGTTGATTCTCCGTATATCGTGTGCTTGTTGCTTCTCAGCATGTTCATTTGGTGTTTGAAGGTCGGTTTCTCGAACAGGGCCTGTTTTAATCGATCGTGCCACGTATTTTTTCACGCCTTTTGCCTGTCTGATTTCGTTGTCATAGGCTTTCTTGATTGAATACATTTTGGGTCTCAGGCTGACGTATTCCGCGATCGGCGTGCCTGCGCATTCGTCCTTCATCTTTCCGAGCAACTTTTTGTTGACTTAGCTGAGCAGTGGATGGTCTTTGGGATAATCGCCATGTCCTCGTAGACGCCCTTGGTGCTGATTTCCATCAGCAGTGAATCTGTGTCCGTGTACAGCACCTCGCACCAATCGCCGTACTGCGTTTTGAGTTTGTTGTAGTAAAAGTCATACATCAGGTGTTTTGACAAGTCCAGGATGCACATCCTCATGTAAATGGGCCGGTTGAATTTGATGTGACTTTTGTTCAAGTGCAGCGCCAGCAAGTCACCGGAGAATGTCTTGCTTCAGTTGAATGCCGGGCTTACTATCCGCTTCCAGATTTTTTCTTCCTCATGAGCTCAGACCAGCTTCACATCGACTTGCTTTTGCAGATTTTCCATGGTTTTGCCGAACACCGAGCTGTTCATGTGTTTGTATAGATTTTATTCGAAATTGCTGGTGACCAGTTTTCACAGATCCATGTTCGGCTCCATCCAAGGCCGTTGATCGAATGGTAGCGCTCGGTGTATTTTCGTCAGCTTCATTCCCAACGACATGTACAGTTGCAGGTTTCTGTTGTGCAGGGTTAGGGTTAGCTATCTGAAGCTATCTGAAAGCTATCTATGAACTTCAGTCTGTCCAGCGAGAACGATATGTATTTCTTTATGTTGTTTGGGATGCAGTTTATGTTGCCTTCCATTTTGAAGATGGCTTGCATGATGAAGTGCGAATCGTATCCGCGAAGGTTGCGCAGCACCACGTGGATGGGTATGATTTTGGGATTGATTTTCAGTTTCAAGTTGCACGCATTATACGTGGCGCCTCTGTAATGGCCGTTGATGTGGGATTGATCTCTCACCGAATTGCCGTTGAGCGGTTGTTTGCACATGTGACAGTGAGTGGCATTCTCGTGAGCTCACCAGTAGTCCTGTGTCATGCACATGGGGATGATTCTGTACAAATTTCTACTGATGGTCACTTCCACTTTGGTGATCTCAGGGTTCCAAGTAAGTTTTCTGACTCTTTGAAACGGCTGGTATTCCTCCACGGGAATGATCAGAATGCATTTCATCGATCGGGCCGGAACGTACAGGTTGATGTTCCACAGAGTGTTGCTCTTTTCCTTGACTATCTTCCGGTGCCACAGAACGCGATCGTACAGGATGGACAGCTTTCCCCAGTACTGGTTGCAAATCTGCTGGGCCAGTTCGGGCTCATGACCATGTCGAACTCCATGGAAATGTTGTCGACGATGTAGCTGGCGGTGTCGGTGATGAAGATGCCACTGATATCTTTGCTATAGTCATTGAACACGAGTTCGTATTCCAGCCTGTCGCCCAGCGCGGCGGCCTGGTAAAAGGGCATGTGCCCCTCGAGCAACTCAAAGTCTAATGGAATGCACAACCGGTTTCTGTACGCTTCGGCTACGGCCTTTTCCGATGACAGTAGGGCATCATGCTGGTCTTGATCGAAAGACATGCGTGACACACAAGTCATTCACAATATTGTTAAAGCTAGAAATTCCTTGATATAACATGTTATTGTGTTCGCCCGCGGTTCTCCAGAGGCCCTCGTAAGTGCAAAACACGTCACTGTCATTGATGCTTAGCACCTCGTTGCCACTGATTTTGATGGCCGTTTTCCTTACAATGGCTCTGCTGATGTTCAGCACGATCGTGCGTTTATCGTTCTTGGACTCCAAAGTGATCTTAAAAGCCAGGTGAGCATTTTGCTTACAAAATCATGTTTACAAACGACAAGAAGTGATACCCGAATGGAACTGTATCATCAATATTACCCTCACCCACCCTTACGTTGTCACAGATGATGAGGGGTTTGTCACCGAAATAAAAAACAGTGGGCTTCTCCTCGTACTTTAGTAATAACTACAGAAAGAAGACGTCTGTAAATACAACATTTCGAGGCGAAACAAGCAATATGTTAGCCACCCCTTCGGAAGACACACTTAAACTCCATTTAGCAACACAGTATCAAGTCCCAAATAAATGTTGTACAAGGGTCTACACTTATTATTGAAGTCTTTCTTTTTCTCGCCCCAACAGGAATATCCTGGATGGGTAAAAAAATACGTTGGGTTCGAAGACGTGCATTTTCACATCGTTGTATTTATGTATGACCAGGAACACCAACCTTAACAAGACTCGAGGGGATTATGGTTTTTCAAGATTTATCAAAACACTCGAAACTGTGGACGGATTTCGTCTGCGACAAATAAGCGAGATCAAACTCCAGCTGGAAGAAGAACGAGATGCATGAAGCGCATTGCACAAAGAGTACCACAGATGGTCCGCCATCATTCATGCCTAATTTTTCACTCTGCCAGGGGACGGAGTTTTACAAAAATAACGCTTATAGGGGAACTGTCATTCCCTATACTACTCTATGTGACAAACAGACCATTGTCAACCAAGACCGTGTCTAAATGTCCCAAGGCTCATCAGGCATCAAAGACAACGTCTCCAAAGGTGTGGTAGAGTTCCTGCAGAATAATGCCATTGGGACTCTTCCTTAGCCTGCAATGAGACCTGAATTAATGGTGGGTGAATTGAAGGTAGCATTGCATGAGGAGTGGCAGCAATTACCTATTGAACGTATCCGAAGGCTCACTGGTGGCATGAGGAGTAGGGTAGAGGCTGTCATCCAGTCACGTGGCGGATACACGAGATACTGATGGCGAACACCTCTGCAGATTTCACGGGGCCTACCTATTCACGAACTGCTTGTCCGCAAAACCAACAGTGTTGGCATTTCTCATGGTATGACAGAGCGTACAAATAATACATTGAATAAATTTTGTCGTTTTCCCCTATTCAATTAATTTGCTTAATTCAGTTCCATTTGTAAACATCAAGTGATAAACCTTAACGACTCGGTTGTCATAAACATCGATGTACAAATATAGTTCTGCATCGTTTTCATGTATGGATCTTCATTTGTAATTGGGGCGGTGGGGTAGCCTAGTGGTTAAAGCGTTTGCTCGTCACGCCGAAGACCCGGGTTCGATGTGAAACCCATTTCTGGTGTCCCCCGCCGTGATATTGCTGCAATATTGCTAAAAGTGGCTTAAACTAAACCTTACTCACTCAATCCTTTGTAGTTTCAGTTGCAGTTTGCATCGCTTCAATTCAGGCATGTCCGAATTGCAAAAACTGTCTGTTTGGAAAGTGTGATGAAGACGGAATATGTACTGACGGGTGTGAACCAGGCTATACTGATATATACTGTCAACATCCATGTCAGAAGACCTGTTTAAAAGGCAGGTGTATTGTGGACAACCAAACAGGAACGACAATGTGTACAGAGGGGTGTGTTGATGGCTTCTGTTACCATACATGTAAGATACCTTGTCCTGAAGGCTGTCTACGTTGTAAGCGTATGCTCTGTGAAAACTGTACACTTTGTGAGAGTCACTTGTACGGACAGGGCTGCCAACACTCGTGTGTTGAGAAGTGTAACGGATATGCATGTGATATTCACGGAAACTGCTCACAAGACAAATGTATGGATGGTCGGTACGGCAAGTCATGCAGTATGTCATGTAAACCGAGGTATGAGTCATGTCACCAAGAGAGTGGACGATGTATTAAATGCTGGCGAGGTTTATTCGGCGACGACTGCCAGAATCACTGTTCACGCGAATGTCTATCAAGGGAAGAAGACGAAATGTTCAGGTGCAGTTCGGGATGCACGCTGTGCGATTTACCGCCTCATACTGATTGTAAGTATTTCAGTTTCATACTTAATTTTTATATCTAATAACATTTTCAAGTATTCTTAAATAGTCTGGATACACATCGGACCGACCCCCAACACGCACAAAACGCAGGAGCACGAGGCCTGTGGGTTCGGATACGTGGTCGTCCGATGTGATGGGGAAACGAAAGCTCCCGTAGTGTACAGGGGTCCCGACGTGGCTGAAAAGTTTCTAAAGTGCTCGCAATGGGAAGAGAAAACCATCAGGAAGAAATTATACAATGTCGTCCCGATGCGTATGACCCAAGCCGACCAGCGAGCTCATGGCTGCAGCACTCACTGCCACGTGTGCGACGGCCTGCTGAATGGGGGGATCACTGCCATGTCATCGGGGAGTACAGAGGCGCCGCTCACAGCGCGTGCAACCTCAAACTCAAAATCAACCCCAAGACAATCAACATCCCCGTGGTCTTCCACAACTTGAGAGGGTACGACTCTCACTTGATCATGCAGGCCATCGCGAAGGTCGACGGCAACCTGACGTGCATCCCCAACAACATGGAGAGATACATCTCCTTCACCCTGAATGGCCTGAGGTTCATAGACTCAGTTCAGTTCCTTCTGTCATCTCTCGACAGCTTGGTCAAGGCCAACAATACCTTCCCCATCACTGATCGATACACCCACGCTGAGACTCGGACCCTGCTGGTGAGGAAGAAAACTGGGCTGCAAGTCCCTGGGTGATTACCACGACCTGTACTTGAGAACGGACGTACTCCTGCTGGCTGACGTGTTCGAGACGTTCAGAAAGACGTGTTTCAAGCACTATCAACTCGACCCCGCGTGGTACTACACCAGCCCAGGTCTCTCTTGGGATGACTTGCTGAAGAAAACCGGAGTTAAGCTGGAACTCACCGATTACAACATGCACCTGCTCATCGAGAAAGGATTGCGAGGTGGGATTTTCATGGTTGCCAAACGATATGCAAGAGCCAACAATAAGTACGTGAAGGGCTACGATGCTAGCAAACCCATTAATCATCTCCTCTATCTTGATGCCAACAACCTGTACGGTTGGGCTATGAGCCAGTATCTACCCACCGGGGGATTCGAGTGGCTGCCTGAGATAGACATCATGAGCATACCGCCGGATTCGGGGGCAGGTTACATCCTCGCAGCACCCAGCAGCATTACACAAGTCCCACAACGGCTACCCCCTGGCCCCAGAACGTTTGATGGTGAACCCAGACTGGATGTCCGACTACCAACGGAGGGTTGGGGGTAATAAGCTAGCCAACGTCGAAAAACTCATACCCAACTTGATGAACAAGACCAAGTACATCGTTCGCTATTGCAACCTGCAGCTGTACCTGTCGCTGGGTATGAGGCTGACTAAAATGCATAGGGTGCTCAAGTTAAACCAAAGCCCCTGGATGGAGCCCTACATCAGAATGAACACAGACCTGCGAAAGCTGGCCACCAGTGACTTTGAGAAGAACCTCTACAAGCTCATGAACAACTCGGTGTTCGGTAAGACGATGGAGAATTTGCGAAAACCAGTGACCGTGAAGCTGGTCCGGGTAAAAGAGGAAGACAAGCTCAGGAGACTGATAGCCGGCCCGGCATTCAACCAGAGCAAGATATTCACCAACGACCTGGTGGCCCTACATATCAGAAAGAGCCACATCAAGTTCAACCGGCCTGTCTACATTGGGATGAGCATCCTCGACCTCTCCAAGCACCTGATATACGACTTCTACTACAACGAGCTCAAGAAGCAGTACGGTGACAGGTGCGAAGTGCTGTACACGGACACGGACTCCCTGCAGATGGAGATTCGAACCGAAGACGTGTACGACGACATGGCAAAACACATCAATAGATACAACACCAGTGACTACCCCAAGGACCATGCCATGCACAGCACGGTTAACAAAAAGGTCCTCGGTAAGATGAAGGACGAGTGTGCTGGCACGCCCATAGTGGAGTAAATAGGCTTGAGGCCCAAGATGTACTCCATCCGGAAGGCCGACAATAGCGAGATCCGGAATGCGAAGGGTGTCAAGAAGTACGTAGTGAAACAACACATCAAACACGCCAGGTTCAAGGAGGCCCTGTTCAGGGCCCGCACCTTCAAGCATCAGATGAACACGCTGAGAAGCGAAGGACACAGGATATACGGACTGACGATAAACAAGACGTCCCTGTCACCGATGGACATGAAGCGTTGGATAGCCGCCGATGGAATCAACACGTACGCGTACGGGCATGAGAAAATTGAACCAAAGACATAGCCGTATGTATACGATGTCACGGAAAGAGAGAAAGTTTGAAGCTATTTACTACAGCCTGCGTGGGTACTGGCAATACATAAGCTTGCCAAAATGACGAGAGTACCCCGAACGAGGCCAAAGCGTGGCTGGAAAAACAAGCCCTGTGGCAGATCTATTTACCGGCACCATGCTACGTGCCTAGAATATAGTTCGGCATTGCCGTACCCAATAGCGTCTACCAGGCCGACCTCCTGTTCCTACCCCACGACAAGAGGTACAAGTATGCCCTAATCGTCGTGGACGTGGCCAGCTGCTACAAAGAAGCCGAACCCTTAACCGCGAAAGACTCAGCACAGGTAGCCCGCGGATTCGAACACATAAACAAGCGCAGCCCGCTGATATGGCCCACAGAACTGCAAGTCGATCCAGGATGGGAGTTCATGGGTGCCGTGTCACAACTGCTAACTAAGCATGGCATCCAGGCCAGGCGTGGCGCGGTCGGGGCTCATCGCAGTCAAGCCATAGTCGAGAGATTCAATAGGACTTCTGCCGAGCGCTTATTCGGGCATCAGTATGCAAGAGAGATGGCCATTCCGGGGAGACGCTCGACGGAATGGGTAGCGCGGCAACCTCAAGTGGTGTCGGCTATCAATAACGAAATCACTCGGCTCACCGGCAAGAAACCGGCCGACGCTATCAAACTGAAATCAGTGATGGCCGAAGGATGATCAGTGATCGCGTGGGAAGGAGAAACAGATACCCGACCGGGTCCTCGTGAGGTACCTCTAACAGCTGGGAGAACATGAAGGAGACACTCGGAAACGAGCCACCGACCCGACATGGTCGATCAAAACTTACAACATAGATAAAGTGGACATTAAAGCCGACGAGCCGAACTTGTACTACTTGAAAGATGGGCCACCGAGAGGTTTCATCAGAGAGGAATTATGGATCATACCAGACGGCACAATGTTACCCCCCAAGCAAAATATTTAACACTTACCTTGTCGAGTAATCCCAATAGTATCCTATGACCAGCTCATAGGCGATTCACATTAAACTGTTTCCTCGAGGTCAACATGACATAGGGCGATCACAATAGTGATCAGGAAAGTGTTGGTTCGTCATAGTGACCAGGAAGTTAACTGGGGTTCAAACAGTGGTATATACAATAGCGGAGAGATAAGGGCCCGACAAAAGCTTTATTTCATAAATAAAGCTTTACAGGGTCTTTTATTGGAATTGATCTCGTACCGCTATTGTATATACTAGATATTGCAGTGTTATAAAGATTATTGCAGTGTTGTGAATATTACAGTAGATACTGCAGTGTTATAAATATTACTTCAGTGTTATAAATATTACTCTTCTCTCATGAATATTACTGTTAGCTTGTGAATATTACTGTAGTGTTATGAATAAACTGTAGAGTTATGCAAGCTACTGTAGTGTTAAGAATACTACTGTAGTGATATTAATACTACTGTGGCATTACGCATGTTGCTTGTGACAACATACACATCCCTTTCCCAGGCGAATACGAATTACTCCAATTGTTTACGTGTGTCCTGCAGCTAAGAAAGATCTGGCATGTACAGACAATGGCATGGATACCAGAATTAACTCTACCATTGGACTATGTAGCGCTGTGCTGTTGGTTGCTGTGACAATACTTTGCCTTAACATCAAGTAAGTTGGTAACGAAGGTGGCTGGCTCTGTTGTCTTGGATGACTCTAAACTCTAACACTGTGCACATCTAACCATTTGTTTTTACACATTATAACCTAACTGTTTCTCAGATAGTCCATCCACCCACGTGGACTTGCATGAGGAAAGTCATAAATGCCGCTGATATGGCCCACAGAACTGCAAGTCGATCCAGGATGGGAGTTCATGGGTGCCGTGTCACAACTGCTAACTAAGCATGGCATCCAGGCCAGGCGTGGCGCGGTCGGGGCTCATCGCAGTCAAGCCATAGTCGAGAGATTCAATAGGACTTCTGCCGAGCGCTTATTCGGGCATCAGTATGCAAGAGAGATGGCCATTCCGGGGAGACGCTCGACGGAATGGGTAGCGCGGCAACCTCAAGTGGTGTCGGCTATCAATAACGAAATCACTCGGCTCACCGGCAAGAAACCGGCCGACGCTATCAAACTGAAATCAGTGATGGCCGAAGGATGATCAGTGATCGCGTGGGAAGGAGAAACAGATACCCGACCGGGTCCTCGTGAGGTACCTCTAACAGCTGGGAGAACATGAAGGAGACACTCGGAAACGAGCCACCGACCCGACATGGTCGATCAAAACTTACAACATAGATAAAGTGGACATTAAAGCCGACGAGCCGAACTTGTACTACTTGAAAGATGGGCCACCGAGAGGTTTCATCAGAGAGGAATTATGGATCATACCAGACGGCACAATGTTACCCCCCAAGCAAAATATTTAACACTTACCTTGTCGAGTAATCCCAATAGTATCCTATGACCAGCTCATAGGCGATTCACATTAAACTGTTTCCTCGAGGTCAACATGACATAGGGCGATCACAATAGTGATCAGGAAAGTGTTGGTTCGTCATAGTGACCAGGAAGTTAACTGGGGGTTCAAACAGTGGTATATACAATAGCGGAGAGAGATAAGGGCCCGACAAAAGCTTTATTTCATAAATAAAGCTTTACAGGGTCTTTTATTGGAATTGATCTCGTACCGCTATTGTATATACTAGATATTGCAGTGTTATAAAGATTATTGCAGTGTTGTGAATATTACAGTAGATACTGCAGTGTTATAAATATTACTTCAGTGTTATAAATATTACTCTTCTCTCATGAATATTACTGTTAGCTTGTGAATATTACTGTAGTGTTATGAATAAACTGTAGAGTTATGCAAGCTACTGTAGTGTTAAGAATACTACTGTAGTGATATTAATACTACTGTGGCATTACGCATGTTGCTTGTGACAACATACACATCCCTTTCCCAGGCGAATACGAATTACTCCAATTGTTTACGTGTGTCCTGCAGCTAAGAAAGATCTGGCATGTACAGACAATGGCATGGATACCAGAATTAACTCTACCATTGGACTATGTAGCGCTGTGCTGTTGGTTGCTGTGACAATACTTTGCCTTAACATCAAGTAAGTTGGTAACGAAGGTGGCTGGCTCTGTTGTCTTGGATGACTCTAAACTCTAACACTGTGCACATCTAACCATTTGTTTTTACACATTATAACCTAACTGTTTCTCAGATAGTCCATCCACCCACGTGGACTTGCATGAGGAAAGTCATAAATGCAGTTTCAACATAATTGCCATTGGTATTATTTTTACTATCATGGACATCAACTAAATGCACCACCTACAGCATAATGCGCATATATGCGTCCCGCATACGTGGATCATATCACAATGAGACATGGTTTTAAATTATATGTTCTGTAGTTCTCAATAAATGTCTATGAATCTTGAATTATATGTAACAGACGATGACAATTTTACACCGGTGGATGGTCACTATACATGATACTTTTTTCTTTGAAACTTTGAAGGGGATTTAGAAGTTAGAAATACAAATAACAAGGGACGTGGACACCCTGTATCGTGTAAAAACAAAGTCCAGAAAAAGGTGTCCTCTTCGTACGAATGAGCTACTGAGCTAATTGACGCCAGACAATAGACAGAATAACCAATTGAGGTCAAAATTGATTTAACCTGATAAGCCAAATTTTTACAGAACGCGATTCCCGATCATTATAAAGATATTCATAGCAGCCCCTTAGGATACAGTTATCAGTTCCCACCAGTTTTAACCAATATTTTATCAAATTAAACATTCTTTTCCATTGAAGAGGATAGCTTCAGAGTTCGGCATAAATCATAAAACTACAGTTTGAATTCTTTACACCCAGTAGTTTTTTTACAAAGTTCTAAATGTAATATTTGAAATTATCTCCCTTGTGTGAACCCCATACCTCGGTTTACACTTATCTGAGTGAACATATACTAGGCACATAAAGAAACTGTGCATACAAAAATTTAAAATCTAAAGTTATCAAACCTGTGTAGACACATAAGGATTTAAAACTCAGAGATTAGTGACATGTATCCAACATGCATGCACGTGCCACGTTCTGTGACGTCAGTGGGTTCGTCCTTGAGACGTGCAATACGTTGTTGCACGTGCATTCCGGGAAACAGAACAGAGCAAATGAATGCCACACAATACTGTCACTTTGGAAAGCTCAACCCCTGCCCTTGCGATCGTTCAAAAAATTAAACGGCTATTGAAACGCATAGCATGCCAAGGCTCACGTCTGCACAACGTCATGAGGCCATTGGAATGGTCCGTGGGGGAATGTCTCAACGACAAGTTGCTGCACATTTCCACTGCCACCGGAACACCATTTCTGCACTGGTGAGACGCTACCAGAACACAAATGACGTCATCGATCGGTCACGTTCTGGACGTCCACGTGTAACAACGCCAAGACAGGACAGATGGATAAGGGTGACCCATCTTCGCCACAGGTTTCAGACTGCAGTGATGACTGCCCGAACCATCCGAGGACTTCGCTGTATCCACCCCAACACAGTTCGACAACGTTTACGCCATCACGAGATCAGACCACGACGTCCCACCATACGGCCTATCCTGACACAACGTCATCGACAAGCTCGCATGTTGTGCCGAAATCATGTCCGCAGACCCTTGTTTTGGTAGAGAAATGTTGTTTTTATAGATGAGTCCAGGTTTAACATTTCCCATAGTGATGGACGTCAACGTGCCTATAGACGCGTGGGAGAACGTTATGCAC